GCTCCATGATGATGCGAGCTGTGACAGAGATCAACTGGGCTACCTGCGACTCGATTCCTGCCTTCTTCACTATCGCTATCATGCCTTCACCTACTCATTGCCGACGGCCTGATTGCCGGCGTTTGCAGCTACATCCTCATCAACACGAATGATCCTCCTGATCGGCCTCGCGACGGGTGGCCGTCTCGTCCCCCACAACAAGGACCAGAAGGACCCCTGGACCTGGCACATTCCTGGCGGTCTCCTGCCTGGCTGGATCGTCCGTCTGTTCAAGGGCAAGAAGGACTTCTGGCGCCCCTACCCTGGCGACGACGAGTCCAACACGGCTCCCGCCGCAGTTGCTGCGCCCGCTGATGAACCCGTTGCTCCATTCAAGGGAGCGCAATACGAGGACCGCACAACGAGCTCGGAGCATGGCGGATCGATCCTGATGGGTGAGGAGAAGAGGGTTGGCGAGACGCCTGCGCCGGCACAGCCGCAGCCCCATATTGTCCAGCAGGACAAGGTTGATCGTGAGAAGAGCGCCTAAAAGAAATGGGCTTCACACACGTATTGCGGGGGAGTAATGAGTTGGGGAGTCTCGCATTGGTACATGGCTCTATGTATAGGCTATTTCTGGTTGAAAATGAATAGTAGGGGCGAAGGCCTTATCTTGTATCTTGTATAAATCATGCTTCGCTCGCTCAATCGAGGTGCGTCTTGCCAAGAGGGAATGCTGCCGCAAAACGCATGCAGCCCTTTCCCTTTTTTCATATGTGACCATATTTGTTTTTTGTTGCGGCATTAATGCTGTGCAATCCTAACTTAGGATCGACAGGTCATTGCTGGGAATGTTAAGCTACGAAATTTGGCCTGCTTGGGCTGATGCTTTTAGATCTGCTCTACATATATTACTAGCTTGAAGAGAAGTCCGTTCCATTCGGAAGACCTGAAGGCATTCGGCGCGCAGATTGTACCGGGTTTTCTGGGCCTGGAGGATCACAGTGCTGCAAATCGCGCCAAAGCCTAGCCCAGGATGACGATGATGGAAGGTGGCCCGGAAAATAAGGAGGAAAACGCGAAGCACATGTTCTACGAACCTGCGGCTAAAAGATATAGCCTCAAGCTGACCATCAACGCCATGCGTCCTCGGCGACAAGCATACATAATTTCTCACGTGCCCGAAAGGCACGATGTGGCTTGTGGCAGAGGAGCCGACGCTGGCAAAAGTGATTCAGGGGAGGCTCGAACTCCCGACCTTCAGTGAAACCCGCGATCGCAGACGATCTTGGATGTTAGACTGACGTGATAAACCAACTACACCACCGAACCGGGTTGACGGGGGTATGAGGGTTAAGGTATATATTTTCCGAGAGTCGTTGTGTGATGGGTCCTGACGGGGCCACGTTGGAGACATGGGGGTACGGGGCAGACAGCAAACGCTTCCGAGGGCGGAGCCGGTTGGCGTGGTATTGCTCGTTCTGGAGCTGTTCAAGTCAACCATCATTGCGGTGTTATGATAAGAGACGCAAGCACCAAGTCTCTTGTCAGCGAGGCAGGGATCTGAAGAGGGAGAGGATAACCGCTTTAACACTAACTAGGCTTGCTGGGGCCCATGTTGTGCGGTATTGAAATTATATCACCAACAGTGCGGCTTTGCTCGCCTCAAGTGCAGATCCGTAAAATTCACGGACAAGCTCGACGAGGTGCTGCGAGTAACATATTCAGCCTGACTGGTCAACTCTCATCGGGCTGTTTGAAATTGCAACCTCTAGCGTCTAAGCTTCCCCAGTCCACACAGCTTGATCGTGCAAATTGATGGCTATAAAGGAACGGCGACGGTGAATTCTGGAAAGACAATCGCAGCACACTAGAGTGATCGCAGCAGAATGAATATCTGGCATCTCCTTTACGGATTCGTTTTCAATTCTGGGTTGTGTATAGCCGATATCGTAGATATATCTAAAGTCTAGGCGACGCGTGAATTCTCCGTCCTACTCAGGACAATGTTTCCAGCTGGATGGAGTTGGCTTCCGGCCCCAAACAAGCAGTCTGATAGTACGAAGTGTAAGAGTAGCGGTAAGATGGCGCAGGATCTCAAGTTCGCGGCCTCTATGTGTTGTACGTATCAGACAAACGCCTATCTATGATGAATTGGGTTTCTCCCACAAGGGAAGCTGTACAAGCCTGTCAAGATAGCTGAAACTACGCCATGCAGGGAATTTATTATATATACTAGTGAAGACATACAGAGGATACGACTTGTGCCTCCCGAAGCTCTGTCTGGCTGATGTCGTTGGACATGAACGAAACAAGACGATTATGGACCAGCAGCGGTCTTCTACACAGCACGTTTTGAAGCCGGCATCGTGACATCCGGACCAGCAATATCATGGCACACGAAGACATCGGCTTTCCAACAACAGGGAACCCTCGCACAGGTTGACCCGTCAAGTGAAAAGAAAATCATTGCTCGGGTGACAAGCCCGCTTCTATCCGTCTTCCTCTTTATACACATATCGGGCGACCTCCATCCTACAACCCTCTCCCCCGCTACTGCCCGCCCCCCCTTTTACTCTCCACAACACATACAAAGCTTACGCCTACTTCCCTTGCCTCTCGGCCTCGAGCTCCCTCTCGGCCTGACGGTAGTACTTGGCCGTGTCGACGCCGTGCTGGTTGTGGTTGACAAAGTTGAACCAGGGCAGGACGCCCATGAAGAGCGCCGAGTAGCGCGACTGCCGCGCCGCGACGCCCTGCATGTGCGGCGTCAGGCGGCTCTCGCCGTAGAGGGGCTCGCCCGCCTTGACCTTGGCCACCATCTCCTTCATGTCGAGGTCGATCTCGCGGGCGTTCTCGGTGGCGCCATAGAAGCGAACTGGTCGGGCCGTTAGCAAGCCTTTTTCCTTTCCTTTTTTCTTCATCATCTTCATCCCTGAGGACTCCTGTCCCTCGGGCACTCGTTGGGCGGAAGACACGAAGGGGGGGAGACGCACGGCTGGAGCGCTGATAGAAAGTAGAAGAAGGCACCCGGCTAGGGCAATGGCGCCGGCCAGGCGAAGGGCTGGGGCGAAACCGCCCTTGCCGACGTGCGAAGGCGCGAAGCGCTCAAGGGTGAGGAGGGCCGCGGGGGCAAATGCGGCGGCTGCGACGCCGTGGGCGTAGTCGGAGGGACGGGCATAGCCGATGACGCGCTTGAAGTGCCTGATCGTGAGAGGGTCCTACATCAGCAACTGGGTCCTCGAGGGCAGAGGGGTCGGATCGGAGACGGCAGGTTCTCACGGGTCGTTGTCGATGAGCTGGATGGGTCAGAAGTATTAGCTCGACTGCAATTGGTGAGAGCCATTGACGGACAGGGACGCACCGGGTAGTCGCTCGGGACGGGCTTTGAGGGGATAAAGGTGGTGGTCTGCGTGTTCGACATGGCTGCGGTCGTCGGTTCGCCTGGGTGATGCCTCTAGAGCGACCTTGGATCGTTGAATTGGCAAAGATTAGAGGTGCTTCACAGACACTGGACGTTGAAGATGCAAAGTTCTGCCTGAGGCTGCCTGTGCTCGACTTCGCAGTACGTACCGTTGGCCAAGTGGGACAGCTCTTGCCAGCTGCCAGCTGCCGTCGTGTCACCAGCTCCAGAACGCGTCCAGCTCCAAATCAATTAACCCAGGCGCGTCACGAGATCACGGCTAGGCGTCAGCTCGTAAGAATTGGTACCCCTCGTCCCTCTGATTTGCGTGACCCTCGCTGCACCAACCACGACACCACAAGCCATACCCGCTCGAGAATACATTGCCCGACATGGCGCCAGGCACAACAGTACCACCCCTCGACGACCTCGACAACTACGACATTGACGACTTTGACGACCCGTTCCGCTCCCCCAGCCCTCAACCCCAGGCTCAAACCCAGAACGGCTCCTCCCAGAAGCGCAAGACCGACGGCCTCGGCCTTGACGAGGAGGTCGACGTCACCAAGCGCGCCCGCGTACCCCGTATCAAGCTCGACGAGACCCGTCTCCTCTCGGAAGATGGCATCCCCAAGCTGCGCCGGCGCGCCGCCGACCTGAAGCTCAAGGGCAAAGGCCACGAAGTGCGTTGGCCCCTCCGCTTTTCACCTCCCTCTCCCTGGGTGCACTATTCCTCTTGTGACATGGTTCCTCTTGTGGCATGGCATCAGCATCATGAGCGACGAGGGGGAAGGGGGGAGAGTCCTGAAAAATCGAAAGCAAAGGCTGACCGACTTGGCGTGCTAGTTCTCCGACGCAGCGCGGCTCCTCACGTTTTACCAGTTCTGGCTCGACGACCTCTTCCCCAAGGCGAAATTCCTCGACGGCCTCGCCATGGTCGAAAAGGCAGGCCACAAGCGCACGCTGCAGAGCAAGAGAATCGAGTGGATCGACGAGCTCAAGCCGCGCGGTTCGGCGGCCGCGGACGACGACGTGGACGAGGAGCCCGCCCGCGGACGATGGGCCGCTGCAACACGGCGACGACGCGGACGACGAGACGATGGCGCAGAGAAACGGGCACGCCGGGACGACAGGGGCAGCGGCGGCGGGAGCGGCGGGGAACACGAGACCCAAGACGCCGATGGCGCTGGACGAAGACGACGTACCGGACGAGGCGGATCTCTACGGTGCGACCCCCAAGAGGGCGGCTCCTGGCACGACGAACGTACCGAGGCCTGCGGACCCGGATGATGAGGACGATCTCGAGGCGCTCATGGCGGAGGCGGAAGCAGAGACGGGCCCGAGACGGGAGCCTGAGACGAAGGTGGCGCCCGCGGTCAACGACTACGAAGATGACGAAGCCGCAATGGCTGAAATGGATGGGATGTGGTGAACGTCTCTTGCGATGTTTCACTCGGGGAGGTCTGCTTTCAGAATATCACGAGGTCTGGATGATCAAGGCGTTCGGCGCACACATATAAAGAATGATTTCTCTCTAGCCATTGAACGGTCGTAATGCGTACTCAGTCACTGGCAATCGCATAGCATGATTTGTCTTCTCAAAAATTCAATTCGTTATATTGTTACAGGCCCGGGCCATTGTTTGACCGCTCCTTCAGGAGACCACCGTTGCGCCATGGACCATACAATAGTTCCCAGTTTTGTCTGAACCCGCCGTTATCATGATAAAAGTCAAATCAGCGAGAGCGTAATCGTTTCTCTCCACCATCTACCAACTCATCGCCCTGTCTCTTCTTGACAGGCGTGGTTGTTGTCGAGTTAAATAGGCTGGCTGGTGTGTGGGTGTTCGTCTCGGGATGGGGGTTGGGTAGTATCCCTTGTTGGATCATCTTACGCTCTTCGACCCGAAGGGTCCAAAGAAGCGTGAGGAGTACCTCTTTAGAGGGCAACGCATCGCCGTTGAACCACGTGTGCGGCTCGCGGGAACTGTCGCGCGTGACCGGTGCTCCGACGTCCGTATCCCCGACCCGATTCTCACAGCCCTCAGACACCAACCGCAATGCCTCCATCGTCGCATCCATAAGTGGACGCGCCAGATTGGGGCTGCAGGTTAGGATTTTCTGAAGAGACTTGAGTCTCAGGGTTAGGGGCACGGCGGCCGTAGTCCGGGTCCGCTGCGCTGTTCTCCGCTGCTGACGCGTCAGTGGCGGCTGCGCTGGCCTCATCGTTGAGGAACTCGTCCATGTCGAAGTTGAACGCGGATGCGAACGCGGACGAGTCACCAGCCATAATATCGTTGTCATAATCGACTGAGTTGGGGGAAGAGAGAAGCCCGCTCTCAAGGACATAGCGATCTGCATCAAAGGCCTCTGACACGCTGAAATGACCGCCGAGGAAGTGATCATGAGCATCTGAAGCTGAAGGTACAAAGTCCATGTTGGGTGCAGGGAAGTCTGTGAGGCCACCCACGACTGTGGCATTTCCTCCGACCGACACGGCAGGTCGAACAACATCACTGCAGGACGTTGTGTCACGTCG